GATTTCAGTCTTAATGCTTTATGTGCATGCACTTATTTATAACAATCCCACAAGGTGGGTGCTGCTACATTCCCTAATTTATATGTAAGGAAACTGAGGCACAGAGAACTTATGATAGCTATCCAAAGAGTTCAATCAGTCACTGGTATGACTTGAATTTGAATGCAAATAATCTAGGTCTTAACCACTATTTATTGCTTATCACTTGCTTTCCAACAGTTTCAGGCTTCTTACCAAGTGTGCTGCTCAGGGAGGAATATGGCCAGTTTCACTGCAGAGGTTAGGAAGACTGTTGCCTTAGGTAGGTCTGTATTTTCCAGAAAACACTGTGTGGTACCTCATCCTTGGCCTGGAGTTGTGCAGTATGCAGCCTGCACAACTGCATGTGGTAGACCCATCTGTGCATAGATGACCTTCCCTGGGCTCTCCTTGTCCTGTGTATCCATGGTAACCAGAAAGATTGTGTTGAAATCTTCCAGCAGGAGGGAACAATGTCCTTGGAAATGTATGTTGAGTGTTTGACTTTGGCCAGATCGGTGGGGGGGGGGGGGGCGGTTCAGAGGCACCTGCATTTGAATAGCATCATTCTAAGACATGCCTTGACTTCAACCTCAGGTAACATGAATTCTCATACCCTGCATGAGGCAGTTAACAGGAGTACCTGGTTCTCTAGGGCTCCAGGATGCCTTATCCTCTCTCCTTCCCTTGGCTCATCCCAAGCTTCAGTGTTTATTCTTTTATGAACTCAGTACAGTACACACAGCCCAATGACACAATTCAATGCTCTCTGGCTCTCGCAGGTCACCAGGCAGGCCAATCTCAACAAATTCCATCCATAGCAGGGACCTTCCTGCTCAGGGAAATCTGTATGATCTAAGGTGGTCTCAAGTCTCCTAACCTTAGGCCCTGCAGCCTATGGGAGAAGGCACCCAGGCCTCACTGTTCTCTGCACAGCTCAGCTACACGGAAGTTCTGTGGGTTTGGAGTGAGGGGGATCCACAACTTTAGGATCTGCTGTAGCGCCACATCAAGAAGTTGGTTTATGTAGCAGCTCCCAACCTTCCTGGTAAACACAGCACAGACTTGTTTTCTAGACCAAGCACATTCCAGAACAAAGGGATTAGAAACAAGCTGACTGTCAGAGCTGATAGAACTAGACCTAGAGGTGGCCCAACCCAGCTTCACCACGTGCAGAAAGACAGATCCCAATGACACAAATCAACAGTGAGAGAGATCAGAACAGCCAATGTGTTTGGGTGGAGATGGTGACCAAGAGGACAAATGAGGACAGCTTTTAGGGGGATGATTTGATCTAGAAGGGGACAGTTTAGTGTATACTAAAGTAAGATTTATGTACTTTAGTATAAAATTATACTTCAAATAAGGAGTAAAAATAAAGGCCCAGAGAAAGTTGAGGTAACATTTCAATGGTGGGGCAGGACTAAGCCCAGGACTCAGGCTTCCTGATGCCCAATCACTGCTCTTTCCTGGTCTCTACTGCATTGTTGCCACTATAGCAACTCAGTGATGCCCCAACAGTCAATGCGGAAGATTTGGCTTGGCCTGGAACCCATGGCACATGGTGCAAGTTAACCTGAAGCGGATCGCAGCTGGGTCCTTGCAGAATCAGGCCCAATAAGAGGTAAGCATGGTAGCACTGTCATAGCATTTCATAACATAGCTAGTATTTCTTGAACACTTACAATTTGCCAGACACTATTTTAAATATATCCTCATGACCAGCTTTACAGGATATGCCATTGTAAACCTACTTTTTATTAATAAGAAAATGGGTCCGCATTTTAAAAGCTTTGCCAAAAGTTAACAAGCAGAAAGTTCCAAGGCTGGCACTAGACTCTATGCTCTTAACATAATGCAGACTGTCCCATTATGAATTATCTGCATCCGTCTGAGAACTGGTAGCCTCTGCTCAGGCCAACACCCACCATCTTGCTGAACAAACAACCAACATGTATCTGATGGCCCTGGTAAGATGACAAGTACTAGAAACCAGCAAGAGAACTTACAGAGAGACCAATTATCTGGGAGCTAGCCAACTTGGCCCGCACTCAAGAACAAAATGGGGATGTCTCACATTGAAAGATCAGGTGTTTGTCTTCATTAATAATCAAAACTGTGTGAACTGAAACCACAATACCACTATATATCCACCACAATTAAAAACACAGAGAATGCCAGATGCTGGTGAGAAGATAATAAATGATGTGTGCAGTAAGAATTGGTGCAGCAAATCTGGAGAACTCTTACACAGCATATCTGTTGGTGTGAGCTACCATAACCAAATATTATGAATTGGGTAGCTTAAATGAGAGAAAGCTGGTTTCTTATAGTTCTGGATTCTGGGAGTCCATGCACAGGATGCTGCTAGATTTGGCTTCTGGTGAAGACCTCTCTTCCAGGCTTGCAGATGACTGTCCTGCCACCATGTCCTCCCAGGGCAGAGATAAAGCCAGCAACGGAGCTGTCCTCTGCTTCCCCTTCAGGACACTAATCTTAGTGTATCAGGAATCTATCCTCATGAGCCCAACCCTAATTAATTCCTTCCTCCAAATTTTGCTAGGATTAGGATTCACCATGCAAATGTGGGAGTGAACACAATGCAGGGCATCACATTCTATCTCTGATCACGTAGATCCATGTCCTTATGGCACATGCAGTGCATTTATCCCTTCTAACAGTTCCTTCCATCACCAACTCTAAAGCCGCAAGCCTCATCTACACCAAGTATGAGTGAGACCTGGAGGATCATTCATCCCAGGGCACAACTACTCTACATCTAATGATGAACAAAATCGTTCAAGCTATTTGCTTCCAAAACACAGAGGAGGGATGGCCTAGGACAGGCATTTCCAACCCCAAAATAGATCAGAATAGAGAAAGGTATGAAGAGTCCCATGGAAGCCCAAAACCTAGCATAGTAAGTTCCATTCAATCTTAGGGATCAAGAATAATCCTCTGGCTCAATGTTCTGCCATCCAGGCCTACTGAAGTGGCAGTGTCACCTAAGGAACTGTGTCACAGCCATACCACCTGGACCTTGATTATGTCTTAATCAACTTCCCTATTTTCCCTCTTCTTGAGAAACAGCACACAGTCTCAGCTGAAAAACTCTGTGGCCCAGTCCTGTAGATTGCAAGTTCAATAGCTTGCCTCCATCTTATCCCACTTTCTTTTTCAGTTAGAATTGTCTATGTCTTAGTGAATGTAGTCCTAACTTTGTTCCTGGCTTCAGTTACTTATACTACACATAAGTCACATTCATCACTTGAATCATGAACCATACTTCCGGCATTCATTTCAGAACAAACTCTCTCTCCCCATCCTCTTCAGCAATGCAGGCAGACTTAATTTTTCTAAATCTTTCCATTATGGTTAAGTGAGAAGAGTAGAGCCCTGATTTGATAGGCTGGTGTTCTTAGAACAAGAGATACCAGAGCTCACTCTCCCACAGAAGACCATGGGAAGAAGGCCAAATACAAGCCAGGAAGAGGCCGCACCCAAAACTGAATGGGTTAGCACCTTGAACTGTGGGGATATGCACTTCTGTTGTTTCAGCGAGCCCATTTGGATAGGTTGAGCTGACTGATACAGTGTTTAGTAAAAGTGAATACATGTCAAGCCTATAACTCAGCAATTTTACTTCCACGGATAAATCCAAAAGCAATGGGCATATATGTGTGCCAGCAGACAACAACAAGTTCATTCCTAGTGGCAGTCTTTACAGTATGTCCAACTGGCAACGGTCCAAGTATCCATTAACAAGCAGAATAGATGGTTAACTATGATACACTCATAAAATAGAGTAGCACATGGTAATAAAAATGAACAAATTACAATTTCATGTAATAGCATAGATATATCTCATGAGGTCAGTGATGAAAGGAAGAAAGAGCTCAACACAAGATATGATCCTAACTATGTGAAATTCAAAACCAGGCTGCTGGCCATTGCTCCTGATCTGGATGTTCATTACATAGTAGTGGTTACTCTGTGAAGTTCATTAAGCTGTGCATTGACACTTTACCCATTTTCTATATATGTACTACACTTCAATAAACATAGTTTCCACTCAACCACCCCACTGTAACAATGAAGAAAGAGTTGGACGGTGTGAGGATATCTGCTGACCTACCAATTAACCAGTCAGCATTACACCAACTTAGCCCAGCAAAAGGTCAAGGTGGTAGGATCGCCATGCACGATTGCCTGGAAGTCTTACTACCCATACACCCAGTGACAGACACAGTAAGAAACTCTTCAGTCATATGTTTAGGCAGGGAATGATTCTTTCAAACACAGCGTGACAATTGCACAAATACACATATCTTCAAATCCTTTGAAAACCATTGTGCTGTTCTGGTGTTCAGATAAACTGGACATGTTATCAATCCAGAACATGTCACCCGTGACACTCTTGGCCAATGTCTGTCTGTTGTGTGGGCAAATACATCATTTCTCTTGTCTGTTGTAGCATTTTCTTTGGGCATCTGAGGTTGGACTATGAATGGGGAATTTTTAAGGCAACATTCTCCTGATAGCCTTTTTTCATTCACCACAAGAAAGTCCTAAGAGTTGGAACTGGATCCTATAGTTACGATTTTAGCCCTAGCATCGACCTACTCTAGGCGTCTGCCTGAGGACCCTGACACCACATTCTGCAGAGACTCTGACATATCAGGAAACCTGGGGAGCCCCTAGACTCTTTCCTGCTTGGGAAACACTAGAACCAGGCCTGAGATTCACTGAATGTGTTCCCATAGGAGGCTTCAAAAATGTGCTCCTTCTCTGCACTCTTGGGGCCCTGGCATCCTTGCATCCACCCCCACAGCCTCCTCACAGGCAGGGCAGGTACAACTATTTCTGCTCAGAAGGAGACTTCCTAATGAAAAGCTCAGAGGCCTGCACCCTGACAGCCATGACAAGATTCAGCTCTTCTTCCCCACTCCACATTCACATGTACTCCTAAACAGGGAACTTACCTGAGGCGTCATTCCATGGCAGATGTACATGATGGGAGCATTCTCTGTGTCTGGGCCCTGGTCAAGACACAAGTCAGTCTTCAGGGAATTCTGCAGCTGAACATCAGAGAAGGCATGGGCACACCAAACACAAAGAAAGAAGAAAAGTAAGTGTATTAACCAGGAGACGTGACCATCCCACTGAGACTCCATGATCAACCCAAAGTCTCTTGACACAGCGGAACCAAGCAGCACCAGCTTTTGCCTTCACCTAGAGATGTTAAAGGGAGACTGAAATACTAGTATCTCGTTAAACAGGGAGCTAGGATTTAGAAGCCATTATAGTCAGGGTACAAATAAGAGAAATACACCAAATGAGGGTAGGGTCCTCATTTCCTCTCCTTTCCAGTCTATTTTCTGCATATGCATTATGCTTCAATCAAAACGTACATAAAAATAGTCACTCATTCAAAGTGATATGCCACCATAATAACAAAGAATGAGTTGCAACACTGGATGGTATCACATAACTGCAAGTAACCAGCCAATGATGTCTCCACAACTTAGCCCACAAAGAGCCCACAATGTAATGGGCAATCACCTGGAAGTCTCATTACTCACACACAAGGTCTCTCTCTCTCTCCGCACACACACACACACCCCATAACATTTTTCAAGCGTGCCTGAGAGGGACCAGGGCAGTGGAATAAAAGGCTAATCTTCCACCTGCAGCACCAGCATCCCATATGGATGCCAGCTCATGTCCTGGCAGTTTCAGTTCCCATCCAGCTCTCTGCTTACCTCCTGGGAAAGTAATAGTGGATGGCCCTTGTCCTTGGGCCCTTGTCCTTGGGCCCTTGTATCTACATGGGAGACCCAGAAAGAAGCTCCTGGCTTCGGATTAGCTCAGTCCCAGCCATTGTGACTACTTGGGGAGTGAACCAATGATTGCAAGACTCTCTCTGTCTCTCTCCCTTTATTTCTGTAAAACTTGCTTTTCATGGGCCCGGCGGCATGGCCTAGTGGCTAAAGTCCTCATCTTGAATGTGCCCGGGATCCCATATGGGCGCCAGTTCTTTCCCGGCAGCCCTATTTCCCACCCAGCTCCCTGCTTGTGGCCTGGGAAAGCAGTTGAGGACGGCCCAAAGCCTTGGGACCCTGCACCCACGTGGGATACCCGGAAGAGGTTCCTGGATCCTGGCTTCGGATTGGCATAGCATCAGCCATTGCGCTCACTTGGGGAGTGAATCATCGGATGGAAGATCTTCCTCTCTGTCTCTCCTCCTCTCTGTATATCTGACTTTCCAATAAATAAATAAATCTTTAAAACCAAAACAAAACTTGCCTTTCATATATATTTTAAATAGTGCCTGAGAAGCTTTTCCCTTAGAAAGCCTTGAGGAATGGGCAACATGTTAGCTGTTTTCAGCCCTGGAAGGTGTCGTGCGACCAGACCCTCTATGTCTCCTGCAGATCCAGCATGGACTTGGCTAGGCCCCAGGGTACCCACTTGCAGAGGGTCTCCAGAAGTGGAAGTCTTCTGGGGAATGTGAGAGGAGAGGGCCAGAGTAGGAGCAGAAGACTGCAGTGTCTCCTACACTAAACTCTAGCTTCATGGACAGTTATGGCAGTTAAAAATTATTGGGTAAGAGCACCAAAATTCAAGCTCCCCTTTTCTGGCTAAAGCAAACTGGACAGGACAGGCTATGGCCATGTAGTCTGGCTCATAAGCTGAAGATTAGTAGACCCAGAGTTTCAGGAGAAATGGATCATTCTTCTGTTTCTGGAATTTGACCATCCCATCATTCTTTCATCTTGGATCAGGATCTAAATGAAGCCCAGGAACTGTGGGCAGTGGGTGGTGGGTACTAGATCATGAAGCCATTGTGACTCAGGGGAGGGGACCTGCTGGATCGTGCAAGTCGTGATCTAGGATGAGGTGAAGCACAAGACAGGCAGAATTAGAGATGAGAGAGGCCACTCTATCCCCACTGTGGCTCCTGTGGCCTTCGGGGTCAAGTGCCTGCATGCCCAGATGTACTTCATCTCCTTGTGCTCAGAGTGTTTGTGGGTTCTTCATACCACTCCTATCTTAACTTGAACCAGCTAAACTGTAGTTCTCTTCCTAGCAACCCAATAATCCTGACTAGAGCAGGGGCCTGGAGGCCAGAATCTAGGAAGACAAAGGCCACAGGTGAGATATCTCTCAGTGTGGAGGTGGTGAGAGAGGAGGCAGAATGGATACAGACAGGGCTACTGTGTTCCTGATGGACTGCAGCACAAAAGGAAGGCTTGGCTTCTCCTGAGTTCTTGATGGCAGCCTCTTGGTGACAAAGGCACCCTTGTGTCATCTCTCCTCCTGCTTGACAGCAAGTGGGCTATTGAAGTGGTTAGGAGACATAGGTTGGGCTGGTATCCTGGCTCCTGTCGTGTGGTCCTGGACAAAGTCACATAACTCCTTCCTGTCTATTGTCCTGCCTGTGAAATAGGAATAAGAACAGTGCCTGTCTCACAGGGCTACTATGGGGATTAAGTGAAACAGCATTTACAAGTGCTTAGCACAGGGACCTGGCAACATGCATGTGTAGTTGTTGTTAGCTGCTGTTATTCCTGCAGCCTTTTCTGAAAGGAGCCATTCATGGAACCTACTAGTAGATTAATGAGTTACAGACAGAAAGTGTCAGAAATTATTTGACCTGCACAATGCAATTTGGACATGGGTTTGAACAGGCAAAATAAGAAGAAACTGTGCCCTTGAAAAGTTATCTGGTGTTTCCCATTTAAAATAAAAGCAATTACCCAAGAGGTTTTTCAGACTGTGTGAATCCTCTTATTCTTGCAGCTGCCACTTGCTTTGCCAATCTACACCCTGCCATCCCCCTTAGGAGTTCATTATGCTCTTCAATAAGCAGCACAATCTCTGCTCAGGTCAGAGCCCAGGGGCTGACACTGTGGTGGGGGAAGAGGAGCTTGGTGGGCCCTGAACGAGGCCTGGCAGATGCAAATGAATTGGGTCAGAAAGCTCCATCCAGCCAAGGAATGGCTAGCACAGCTTAGCCCTCTGGGATGGAGAGTGGACAGCTTCTGGCATTACAGGGAAAACAGTCTGGCTACTGAGTTGGACAGATTGTGATCATGAGGCTGTATGTGTCACTTACTTTCTGACTAAGCAACCACTTCCAGGTCTAGCATCTTTGAGCTACATAATAAACCTAGTGTGAAATGTGCATGAGGCCCTTGCACTCAAAGGATGGGGATGTTTTTGGCCAAGACAATGATACGATGGCCACACATGCACACGTCCACTGTTGCTACTCCCTCTATTTGTCTGAGTGAGCTTGGTGGATCTTGCCCAGCTCCAGCCTACAGCCTGCTGAGAACACGAGTCCAGAAGCTTGTCTTGACTCTCACAGCATTCAAGCCACCAGTTTCTCTGGATCAATAGCCCCAAAATCATCCTTTGGGAACTGGATCCACTAGTGGTATAGCTGCACCTACAGTTGGCTGTGGGACAGAATGTTGGGGGAGGCTGCCCAGAAAGCAGTTTTCAGGATGCATCCTTGAGGCAGAGGGACTGGTGGGCTGATGACTGTGCAATTTGCTATTGGGGGGACAGCAGGATCTTAGGCCCTAGCTAGCAGCTGGGGAACACCAGCTGGGATTGTGTCTTGGCTTGCAAATTGTATGAACCTGAGAAGTGGAGAGGCAGGAAGACGCTGGGCAGTTCTCTTGGTAGATGTGTTGAGCATGCCATAGAACACTCATGGGAGGATACAACTCCCTCTACAGGCTGGCTTCCTGGATAACAGAGATTGCCTGACTACGGTGTGGGAGGTTCTGGGATTCCAACTCTGTTTCTTCTAGAATCCCAGGATGTTAGGATAGGAAGTGCCATTAGTAGCAGTGGGTGCAACTCCTCAGCAAGGGTTCTGCTTGCTCCCAGGCAAATGTTCTGTCTTCAGTATCCCCTGCCAGGACAGGCATTGAGCTCAGCCCTGACCACAGCACAATGCAAGGATGCAGCCTCAGTTCCTTCTTCTGGTTTTCAGAAAAGGTCTGAGAGGGCACATTCTCCAAAGCCTGGACCCAGGAGGCTGTGGCAGGCCCTGTTTCACTGCTGCTTCTCTGTGTGAACCCAGGCAAATGACTTCTGTTTCTGTCTCCTCATCCGAGCAACTCACGGAGCTGCCTAGAGGGCTCAGCTGCCCCAGAGAAGATGGTATGTTCAGACCATAAGCACCAAGCAGGTGAGAGAGCTGCAGCTTGAACCGTTATCATTGAAACATCCTATGAGTTGCAGGGACCTGGGAAAATTGGGCGAGTTTATCGTGTTCATAGTGTTTCAACCTTAGAAAATGCCTTATATGCCTTAGGCTTTCTGCTACTTTGAGAGGACAGGATTACTTGATCCATTTAATAGGTCAAGAAGTTGAGATCCAAATATATGACCTGAACAAGATCTGAACTAGACCTATCCAACTCCAAACCCTTCTCTCTGCCACCTACCTCGGAGAACTGCTCTGTGCTGATCCACAAGTGGGACTCATATGTCCCTGAAGAGGCAGCACCTCCTGAGGCTCCACCTTTCAGAACTCCTTTCAGGGTGGTGCCACACGTGCCATCAGCTGCTGGGTGCGTTGGGAGAGCCATTGAGATGGTCCATGGCACCACAGGGCTCCCTCTGGGAGAAGAGCTAGTGTTTATTGTGCTACTTTGCAACCTTCTGCCTCTCTTTCACTGTATGTTTTTATCAAGTAAAATATGCAGATTTGGGGCCAGCGTGAAAGTGTTTGGGACAGCAAAGGAGAGAAAAAAAACCTCTCTCAAGGCACTGGGGCAGTTCAGGTGTGGAAGCAAAGGCTGGCTGCAAGTCCAGGAACTAGTGTTCAGTCTCCAGGTTTGCCACAGGTCCCAGGCAGGTGGCCTGAGAGCTATTCCCTCCCTTCCCCTTCCTCTGCAAGCCTGGTGTTCTGTGTCAGAATGGCAGCACGAGGAGGCGGGCTGCTTACCACCCCGTAGGCGATGATGTCGGAGTACATCCTCATCTCTGGGTACACGCTGACCAGGTACCATCGGAAGGTCTTGCACTGCAGCTGCTTCCGCAGAGCCTTCCTGGCACTGATGTCTCCGATGTCGATCCCTGAGTCCTGTGCCAGGAAGCAGAGGCAGAGATGTAGCCACCAGCAAATTGCAAGTTCTCTCCAGACTCTACCTTGGTGTGGCTCGGATTCCCCACCAATCCATGTATAGGGAGTCAACTCAACCCACGCATACATTAGCCCCATGGCAGCCTTGCTGGGACTCTGAAACATGAGAACAACATGAATGGGTTTGCCAGCAAAAGCCTCAGGGAAACAAACATGCCAAGTTCTTACATGTTTTTAAATACCAGCAAAAGCTGCAGTCTGGATACAGGTGAATGAGTGCAGTATGAGTAAAACTTTTCTCTACTTCAAGAGGCAAGTGGAGAGATTCTGAGCTGTGGAGGGAGAGGGACAGAAAGGGGAAAGAGGTGATGATGGGATGACCCTAATCCTAAACTGTGCCTAGGAATCATAACAACTAAGCCATGTCACGCTGTTGACTGGCAAGGCTATGTTCTTTATGCCTCTGTGGTTTCATTTATTTCCTTCCACACATATGCACTTGTATCATCCTGGTTAAACCTATAACACTACAGGATCTTCAGACACAGATGAGTTGAGACAGAGGTTCAGGAACCAATTTAGTAACTCGGCTGAAGCGTCACAGCTAATGCAAGATGCAGCAGATCTGAACGCAATAATTGTACCCTGTGTAAACAGAGTACCTTACCCTTCTGTCTTCTGAGATCATGTCCTCCGTAAGACTCTCTCTTGAAGGGTACTAATGCAGAAAGGACTCGGGTCTCTCACTTCCCAAGAATGTCAGGAAGGAGGCCCCTGGGACACTGGAGCAGCAGCAGTAGGTTAGCACTGGAGACAGGATTGTGAGCATGAGTGAGGGGGACAGAGATGCTTCCTGTATCTCTTGTGGTCCCCGAGCAGGGTAGAGGACACTGAGAATTCCAAGGCATGCACACTAGCTGCTGAACAGAGTACAGAATGGGCTGAGAAGGAGCTGGGTGTCAGACGGAGACGTGGTGACATCTCAGAGGAAGACACCAGGTGAGCTGGAGCCAGAGACTTGTGGAGCAGGTCGGGTCCCATGAGACCCAGCCCAGAGCAGAGAGGCAGATGAAATGAAGCAGGTAGAGCTCTCTTCCCCCACACTTCAGCCTATGTGTTGCCTGGGAGAGTCCTCAGATTTGGCATCAACTCCAGGGATCTTGACACTGGGGCTGGGTAAATCAGAAAACTGATAGTTTCAGTCTAAGATGTTTGAGAAACACCACACAAATGGCTACATTTGTGTGGACATGATTGGAAGCTCCTGGCATCAGACTGGGGCTGGGGGTCAAAGATGATTTAGATTTAGAAGAAATAGAGTTATTTTTGTCCAGCAGAGTTCAGTAACTCAAACATCTGAACCTACAACAGCTTAACGTTAAAGTCCCAGGCTCCCTGGGGAACAATTTCAGCCAGGGCCCACCTTCTTTGTACTTTCTAGTGGCCCATTTGTCTACTACCCAACTGCTGCCCAGGGTCTTATTCTGGCTGGACTCTGCTCCTTAATGTTAGGAAGCCTGGGACTGATTTCTGAGTTCCCAGATCTGGGACCATGCCTCAATGGTACTGATGAGACAAGTTGTGAGGCAGTGAATGCAGGAAGTGGTGTTAACTGGGACCAGCCCCCTGCTCTCACTTCAAGAGATCTGCAGGTATTAACCCTTTGCAGCTCTCTATACTTTCTCCTTCTATGGCATGCTGCTGCCTGGATCTGCACATTCCTCTCCTTTTGTGCTATAAATCCCTTTCCATGACTACTGATTAATAGTGTATCTCATTTTGTATGGGTCCATGAGAAGAACCCCTCTCAGGAAGACCTCTGTATTTTCCTACAATTCTGAGTTTCCACAGGACACCTTCCTAAACTTAGGATCAGATAAAAGTTAGTCCTTCTTATGATCTAAGAAAAGATGAGAGACACATGAGCCATCAGGTGGCCTCATCTAGTTGAACTACAGGAAGCTCAAGAACCAGTCTTATGCTCAGCTTTTATTTCTGATAGCAGGTCCCTTCTCCTTTCTATGTAAGAATTGGTTCTGACCTTCTTCATGGTTCAACACCCCCACTCTGGTGTTTGTTATGAATTTTACTGTCTTTCTTCAGGGCATAGGGCATACAATGAGAATTAAGCAGGCCTCCTCAGAGGTCACTGTGGCCCCTATTATCAGAAAACAGTAGATACATCTTCCTCTCCTGCCAAACAGTGTGGTGGCTGCAACAGTGTCCTTCCCTAAGACCGGTGCCCAACAGAGCCTCTGCAGGTGACTTGGTTTGAAAGCAGAGTCATAGCAGATATAAGTAGTTCAAAGTCTCAGGATGAAGTCTTTCTGGATTTAGGGTGAGTCCTAGATCCAATGATTGATACTTTTTAAATGAAGAGAGAAGGGGATTTGAGTACACAGACACGGAGTGGGGAAGACCACATGAAAACAGTGAAGGTGGAACTAATGCATCTACAAGCAGAGGGAGACAGGAAGCCACTGAAGCTGGATGAAGAAGGGAAGGATTATTCCCTACCGCAGTCGGCAGGAGCATGACCCTTTGGATCGTGAGCTTTGAAGTTGGTTGTAATTTGTCTTAGCAGTCCTCAGAAGCAAATAAGCCAAGCCACATCAAAGGTGCCTGGTTCTCCTGCCACATAGTCATGCAATTCCTGGCAGCCAAATCTAAAGAAATGCTGTCACCTAGGCACCTACGTAAGCTTCCCTGGCATCTTGCCTGTCTTTGGACAAGAAATGTGGGACTAGCCTGGAGTTACTGAATGTGGTTTTAAGGAAACATTTGAAGTTTTGCTGCAAGCAGATTGCCTTGCTGTTTACCAATACATCCAAGTAGAAGGATCCAAATGCTGGAGGCTTCTTTGGTTTTTCACAAGCTTGGGCTGGAATATTATGACAGAGCAGACGAGAAAGCCAGCTCTGTTCTACACAGACTGGAGAAGGACTCAGTTTAGCAGAAAAAAAGTAGAGGGTGACTGCCAGTAAAGGCATCTGAAAGCTTGGGGGGAAGAGATTGCATAGGGTATAAACAAGAATATCGACAGGAATTCACCTATATCTAGCACTTTCTAGTTGTCACGCACTGATTAAACAACGCATGAACCTAGTGGTTTACTCTGGGTAGCCACCTGGGCAGGAGTAAAGGGCTCCAGCTTTTCATTTGCACCTTGGTTGTTGCAGGTAAAAGGTGAAGTGAGTTAGTAATGAACAACCCTGAGCAAAGCGCATGGGTGGGCAGGGCACCACCACATCCAGAGCTGCTGGTAAACCTCTTTCCTGGGGCAAACATGAGAGCAGGAGGCAGCCACATTTCTGCCCTCTTCTTTCTTCTTCAGTGCTCCTTCACTAAATGCTGCTTCTGATGTGCCAGGCTGTGTTCTAAGCACCATACATACAAACAAGGGTGTGTAAGGGTGGCTCCAAGGGGCACAGACACACAGATACCCCTCACAGTGTGATGCGCAGATGGAAACAGAAAGGGAGGAGGCCCTGGACCTTCTCACAGTGTGGAACAGCTGGGATAGTAGGAGAGAAGGAGGCAGGCAGTCAAAGAATGCTTCTTGGAGTAGGTGATGCTGGAGGTGAGTTCATAAAGATGAGCATAATTAGCTAAATTTGTGTAGGTCAGTTCTGCGCTCTCTTAAATGTCACCTGGAGAGCTTTTCACAGATTCTGTCACCACCACAGATGCACTGGTCCATATGTATGAGGGTGAAACCCAGATCTGTGGATTTTTAAATTTTTATTTATTTTAATCATTTCTGAAAGAGAGAGAGAATGTGTGTGTGTATGAGAGAGAGAGAGAGAGCGAGAGCGAGAGAGAGAGAGAGAGATCTGTTGATCCATTTCCTAAATTCTTACAACAGCCAGAGTTGGACTTGGTCAAAATCAGGAATCTGAAACTTCATCTGGGTCTCCCATTTGGCTAGCTGAGGCTCAGCTACCTAAGCCATCATCTGCTGCCTCCTGCAATGCACATGAGCAAGAAGCTGGATAAGAAGCAGAGGAACTGGGACTTGAACCAGACACTGCCATTTGAATTCAGGCACCTAAGCAGTGTCTTAGTTGTTGCACCAATTTCCCATTCCCCACATCAGGGTCTTTTGCCAGCTCTCCAAGTCATGCTGGGACAGTAGTCTAGACATCCACTCTTAGGACCCACTGGCCACTGGAGAAAGGATTCCACAAGAGGCTAAGCTGACTGAGTCACCCACAATAAGCAGAGTAAGGCTTCACTGAGCTCTTACTGTGTCTCTGCCTGGTTCCAGGTTTGGTGACATAAGTATGAATAACAAAATCTGTCTCAGTGAGTCACGGTCAAGGTAGAAGCTCTCAGTTCTGGGAGGGTATTAGAATCCCCAAGGAACTTTCCAGAAATGGATTCTGATGCCCTGCCCAAAGCAACAAAGCCATAATCTCGGGAGTGGAAGAAAATTTCAGATGCAAGAGCATTCTTTTACATACTGGCTGTGCTGTGACAGACTCCAGTACAGGAAGAGGGCTGGCTTCCTAGAGTAGGGGTTGCCAGAGCTGAGTCTACTAGAACGGAGAGGAGGGTGTGTGTGTGTGTGCGTGCTGTGAGGAGACTGAGAGAGACAGTATTAAGGAGGAGGCTGGCAGTGGGGAATTCCACATGGAGAGAATAGAATGAACAAACAGGGTGAGAAACAGCAGAACATGGGCAGCTCCCACAGGATGTGTGGTAGATGTGGATTCCAAAATAAGGAGTAGGGGAAGAGAGCCTGGAGATGCAGGCAGAGGTGAGAGCCTGGGCACCTTGGATGCTCATCAAACACTGGACACTGCACTTGGTTTGTACTCAGGAGAGGCAGGCAATGCTTTCAAACGGAAACAGGGCAGTGGCACGAGTGCTAGTAATGAATTAGCAGGTGATAACTTTGGAGATTCTGAAGGCATGTTTGAAGGGGGTGTGACTTGAAGCAGGAAACTAAGTGGAGGCTGATGAGAGAGACATACAGGGCCTGGGCATAGATGTGAGAGAAAGGAAGTGCTTGGTGTCTGATGAAATGGGGGTTGGGGGAAGAGCATCAAAGAAACAAGCTCAGGTCCAAGTTTGTATTGGCAGATGGTGGCACCATGAGAGAGAGAAGAGAACAGGAGCAGAATCTGGGGCCAAGATGTGCTCAGCTGGATAAGATCTAGTCTGAGTGCCAGGGGGAATACCGCAGAGGAGACATCCGTTAGCAGCTGGAGCTACACGTCTGAGAGCAAAGGCAGAAGGCAGAATTAGAGAGATGTGTTAGGAAGTTGTCAACACATGGGTTGCGGTGGAGCCCCAGAGCAGAATAGATTACCCAAGGGACTGTGTATAATGAGAACAACCAGACAAGTGTGGGTCCCCAGGAGCACGGAGCACCCAGTGGGGATAAGAGGAGCCCACCAGGAGCTGGGAGCAAGCCAAGAAATGAGGACATTCTAGAGCGTGGAGTGGCGCAGCCATGGCACTACCAAGTTTCAAGGAAAAGGTGGATTTCTGTAGGTTAAAGACTTTAAAATACCCATTACATTAGGCGGTGCGAAGGCTCAAGTTGACTCTGGCAGCAGCAGTTTTGAATACCTGAATGTGACTTAAGAAATGAATGAGAGGTGACAAATTGTTAGCTTTGCAAAAATTTGTTGAGTGAGAGAAGAAGGAGTATGGACACAAAGCGAACCAGGAAATCCTCTCTGCCTGAGGCCTTGTCTTGGAGACTTACAGCTCTCATTTGTCTGCTGTTCACTCCCCCTCCCCCCGCCTTGCCCCGCCCACTCCAATCCTATCACTTGATTTGATTTGAATTACTCTCTTGAAGAATCACAGGAAGGTACTGGGTTTTATCATTTTCCAATTACTTTTCCTCACCATTCATGGAGCTGTTGTCCATTTCAACATTTGTCAATTGCAATTAGGGCTGTAGGAGAAGATTTTGGAGAACTGAGAAAAGTGTGCTTGTGGGAGGGGGCAGGGGGGAAGGAGTACAGACAGGACTCAAGTCCTAGGTGGAACCTGGAGACATATGATGCTTCACTGGTGAGCTCCTGGGGAGTTAATCAAGGGTTCTTAGTATTTTTGTCACCAAGGACACTCTCAGCAGGGCTCAGCAACCTGAAACAGTCCCCGTGACTCAATACCACAGGGACAGAGGAAGGCAGAAGGCACAGAAGGCACTATGGTTTCCCTAGGAACAACCTTATTGGCTGGCTGTAATCCTGGGGCTACTTCATTGTGGTAAACTGTCCTCTGGCTCTTTGCTTTTCTCTCAACTGCTAAAAACTCATGGATTATAGGTGCTGCAATCCAACCTAAGTCCCGTTCTCCATGTCAGTAACAGCAGAGAATAAGGTTGTTAAAAACACATGCCACCCATGGCCCAGCTTACTTTATCAATCACTTAGACATGGCAAAGCAGCTTGGTGGAGCATTCACAGAACTTGGAATTTACATGGCCACTTTAAACAAAGATCAATCATTTCATAGAAATGGAGCAGAGGCTTTCTAAAGGACTCAAGGGAAGGCTAGGTACTTGGAGAAAAGAAAGAGGTCATGTAGTCAAAAGCTCTATTGCATGCAAAATGCAATGTGAGTCATGAACTCCAGGTACACAAGCTGCTAAGCTGAGGCTCTGTGGCCAGCCTCTGTTTGGTTTTTCCAATTCAGCAGCCCGAGGTCATCTCCATAGGAGCTGTGACAAGGCTGAACAAAGTTACTGGAAAAACATGACTTTTTCTCTTGAATTTCTTAATTGTAGGTGGACAGAGTGATCACGGGGAGTAGAAGGCAATAATGAGGTTCTATGATGAGAAGCAGCCTGGGCAATGTCCACAGTCTTTGCTTTCTCTGATGGAGACCCCCTGTGGGAGTGCATCTCAGCCCCATCTGGGTGGTTTGAGGAAGCCTCGTGGGATAAGGCTCTTCCTCATTGTTCCAGTCAAAGTTCAATGGGAAAGATTCTGTGTTATCTACAGAGAGGATCAGGTACATTTTGTGAAGTTCAATCATGGCTGATACATTTGTATTCCAAAATTAGGAAACACCTAATATCAGAGAATGAAGGATGTGGGAACATGAGGGAAACTTTGAGCTGCTTGGTCCAACTTGCTTGTCTACAGTGAAATTACAAAAGTTAGAAGTTCTTATGCCAGCATGCTGTCTGGGCATGGAGATGAGCTGTGGAATAGCTTAGAGCTTCTTAATCAGCCCTTTCACATGTGGTAGACTTTGAGGGACAGAGTTTCCTCTACTGTGAATCAAACAAGACTGGTGGAAGAAGATTTTTATCTCATGATTTTTTTCACGCCACCAAACCCAATAAACCCATCCTCAGAGGGACAACGTACCTCTTGGGGTATGTTCCATGCCATGTAGACATGGCTTTTAAATTCATCCATCCAGACTTCAGCTACCCTGAGGGCATTCCTGCGGACATGGGCGGTGAGGTCCTCTGTGTAGGGTTTGTGGGCTCGCTCGATGTGGGCAATCCGTGAACAGGGCAAAACCTCCACACTCCCACCACATTGCCACACCTGCAGAAGACACAGAATCACTTGTCAGTGTCCACACCTGATTGTGTGCAGCGAAAGCAGGCCACTGGTGGCCAGCCAACACGGCCATGGAGAGATCCAGCTCTCTTCATCTTGTCTTCCAAGTCCACTGCATAAAAGGAAACGAGCTGTATCTGGTATGTATCTCTGCAGCGGAGTGGTTGTTGAGTCATTCATGCACAGCTTGGTTCTTAGTGCTAAGTCTCTCACAGAAACCAATTCATGTACCTGTTTCCTCCATCCATAAACTCTACCCTGTTAAAAAAAAGAGACCTGAGATTTTGTAATCAACATCCATATTCGCTTTGCCTTTGAGGGAGAAGCTACTGATATACTTGACTCGTGCAGAGAAGTCCATCTTAAGATGGACCACAAGATCTGGGCAAGTATTAGTGATGGCCACAGAAAAACAGGCAGACACCCTTCTCCTGGCCTGGGTCCTTGATCCAGATGTTCCGTTCCAGTGGAGGCAGGGATACCAAGAAGAGAAGGTTATTAAACTGTTCATCAACCTTCATGAAGAGGATCTTGATTTGGAAGTGATCTGATTTTGCAAGACAATGAAAAGTGAATTTGCATCCTGATGTCAAGGAGCTATACCTTGAAGCTCTTATCACAAGCATTCCAGGTACCCTGACTTTTCAGTCTTACCAAATATGTAACCTTCTTTTGTCCCTATAAGATTTGCCTGTGCTGCTGGTAATTTTAGAATCCCTTACAACTCTTTCTTTAGCTAAAAAAATATCTACCTCTTAGGACCTTGACTGCATGCTCCTGCACTGTGGGGTCTTTGCTTAATTCTCATGACAGAATCTGTGTCTCACTGCTCTGGATGCTACAGCTCTGAACATCACAGCTTACTTGCTGGATTAGTCTTGCTAACTGAATGTGTGTTCCCAGAGGGGAGAAATTGTATTTCATTCATTTCTCATCTCTAACACCAAACACATGACCAGGTACATGTAAGCATTTTGTAAGTACTTGTTGAATAAAGTAGGATTCAAAATAGGATTCAAAGCAATCAAAGGACTTCTGTTTAGCCAGTCAATCAATCAGCACATAAATGGTTGGTGCTTCCTATCTGTGAGATGAATCTGGGATACCTGGACAGGGCTGATGACTGTGGTTTTGGAGGCAAAGTAATTAGGGGCTGCGGGTGGATAGTAGTGGTCACTTTCCAGGTATTATCAACTTGGCAGCTGTTATAACAATAAGTCTGGGTGTAAGATGAAGCAAGATTATCCATCTCTGTGTGTAGAAACAGAATGCTTTCTCCTGTGTGCATCCAGATCATACCACATGCAATTACACACCCACGCCATCCCACCTTCCCTGCTGCATCCTTCAGGTAGCAGTTTGTTAATGTCATGGTACCCCCGTCCATGAGTTAGATTGCCTTGCTTTGTGAGCCCTATTTTGTCTTCCCACAGTCGGGTACCATTGCAATTGCTTGCTTCAGCCTCTCCTTTCCCTTTGCAAAATGTGGTCACAGCTCTTTAGACACATGACACCTGCTGAATGTGCACAGAAAAGTCATAGATTTTCAGGAGGAGGGGCAAGGATGGCTGAACTGGGTAGGAGGAACACTTAGCACTTATTGTTTTTCTGAAATCTTTATTTTTGAAGATTTCTTTCTTTAAAAGGCAGAATGATTATATATATATGTATGTATATATATCTTTGATCTGCTGGTTCACTCCCCAAATGGCCACAAAGTCAGGAGCCTAGAATCCATTCCAGGAGCCTAGAATTCCATCCAGCTCTCCAAGCACATCTTCCACTGCTTTCCAAGGACATAAGCAGGGAACTGGAGGATGGGAAGTAGAGCAGTTAAGACTAAAACCAGAGCTTTGATATGGGACACCAGCAGATAACTCACTGTGCCACAATGCCAGCACCTAAATTTTATGTATATATGTATGTATTTAGTGAGTTAGTTACATACTTAGTTACTTACTTACGTGAAAGGAATAGAGATAGAGATGGAGAGATAGAGAGAGAGAGAGATCCCATCTACTGGTTGCCTTCCCCACATGTATGCAACAGCCACGACTGGGTTGAGCTGAACACAGGAAGCAGAAACTAAATCTAGGTCTCTGATAATGTGGCAGGGACCCAACTGCTTGCTGCCTTCTAGGGTGTGCATTAATAGGAAGCTAAAATCAGAAACAGAGCTGAGACTCAAATAGGTGCTGTGGTATAGGATGCAGATCTCTTAACCATTGTCCCAAATGCTCATCCCTACATCCACAGATTTGGAGTCAGAGAGACCTGGATTCAGATTTGGCCTCTGCCCTTTGCTGTTACGTCACTTTGACATGTTACTTCCCTCTGCAGCCTCAATCCCACCCTGTGTGGAGCACCCTGTGTGGTAAGGGATGCAGTGCCTTGGGCCTGCCTCACTGGAGCATTGCAGGGGTGGCAATTACAGGAGGACAAGCACCATGGACAGGGACAGGATGTAGGCTCCCAGTGGCCCTGCCTGCAAAAGGGTGACCTGAGGTTACTTAGCCTCTATAGAACACAGACAGTGGGTTCCACCAGGGCTGTGGGCTCTGGAAGCCCATGTTGTAGCGCCTGGAACAGTGGTTGTCCTCAGTCTGCTTCTGTTACTATTCCATAATAACAATGATGATTGCTGCAACTTGGCTTCTCCTGTGCACTTGCTTTTAGGGGAGGAGAGGTGAGCAAACTGCTGAGGATAGGCTGTCTGCCAGAATGCCTGCCCCAGCAATAGAGACATGTGCCGGAGGCTCTTTTCACAGACCCTGGGAAGAGCCATCTTCAGCCACGTCCCTTCTGTACAAGGAAACCCCTGTGTGGACAGGGGAGAGCAGCATCTGCTTTTGTTACAGCCTTGAGTTCTCAGCACTACGTATGTTTGGAACAGAAGATACAGACTCAGGACTCAACACATCTGTCCTGCCATTTCTGGCCCTGCAAATAACACTGAAATCAATGGGATACAGTCTGTGTTTGCCAATTCCTGGGTGATAAGCAGCCCCACTGACCAATGGCTTCACTCAAAGGAATCTCACCAACAGTTACATCTAGTTGATGACTGGCATAATAGTTGGAGAGATAAAGGATTGTGCTAGAGAAGCAGGACATCATACAGAGAGTGAGGGGTGGACAGAAGAACTAGAAGGACTAGCAAGGCAGAGAGAATTAGGTAGCTGAGAAATGAAGAACAAAGGTGGCTAACAAAGAAGGTAGGTGAGGCCAAGGCATGTGTTGATATAGCAGGCTCTGGGGACATCTGGCCAAGGATGAATCCCAGGCCTTCTTGACTACACTGAAGTCATTCCTACCCCTATGCCTCTGCACCTGCTACTCCATCCTCCTGGGACGGTTTCCCCCTACTTATTGAACAGCTGAAATGGCACCTTCTTGGACCCACCCAGTCTAAATCAGATCCCATCTGAATACCTGAAGTGCCCTAGCCTTTTCCCAAAAGCACTAATATTCACAAAGCTTTTGTTTACGGATTCAGTTACACATGTGCTTTGTCACAATGGAATTTGAGCTCCATGTAAACGAGGATCATGTCTGTAGGTTTACTACTGTGTATATCAGCACTTGTCACTTAGTGCAGACTCAATGCTTGAACAAATGAGTCCAGGGATATGAGAATCCTGAGCTCTCTCTCACCATAGAGACTCAGTTCTAACTGGTTCAGCTGGATGCCCTAATAAAAGTCAAAAACATAAACTGTGGTCAGGCTTTACTGAACACAATGACTTCCTTCAAACTCAACTAGTTTTTCAACAAAGTTCTGTGATTTGTGTTTACACTGCTACAATCAAAGAGTTGCTCTGGCTGTAGAACTTAAATGAGTAATAATCAAACAAACAAACAAAACAGGAATCCAGCAAATGACCATGGCTGACAGTAAGTAGACAGCCTCGTATTATAGAGCTATGAAAATGTAGAGAAAACCCCCATTCTTGCCAATGTTGGATGTACCTGCAGAGGAGTTGCTTGGTTTGCTCCTGCATGGGACTGGGACCTGAAGCAGATCCACCCAGGGCAGAGCAAAGTCACATTCACCACAAACCCTCCCAAAGACCCTCATCTTGTTGCCATTTCTTAAAAGGCTTGAAGCATCCATTGGAAACCATAAAGAAGCATGGACCTTGGGAACCAAAGGAGAGGGTTGTACTCATAGCTCTTTCGCACATCAACCTTAGAGTGGACTTGTTGTCTGCTCTTTTACTGGAATAACCCCATGGATTTTAAAGATTTATTTTTATTATTTTTTTATTGGAAAGGCGGATATACAAAGAGGAGAGACAGAGAGGAAGATCTTCCATCCGATGATTCACTCCCCAAGTGGGCCGATACTATGCTGATCCAAAGCCAGGAGCCTCTTCCGGGTCTCCCACGCAGGTGCAGGGTCCCAAAGCTTTGGGCTGTCCTCGACTGCTTTCCCGGGCCACAGGCAGGGAGCTGGAAGGGAAGCAGGGCTGCCGGGATTAGAACCGGTGCCCATATGGGATTCCGGGCGTGCAAGGCGAGGACCTTTAACCACTTGTGCCACCACGCCGGGCCCTACCCCATGGATTTTAAAAGGTAAGTTCCTGCTAGCAAAAAGAAGCAGGTAGAAGGCCCATGGGAAAAGTCAACTCTCTTTTGCTTCCTTGGATCCTGAGTTACATGTGCAAATTCAGGGCCTTGTCCTGTGGAAACAAATTTCTTCTTCTCAAGCCTCAATTTCCCCAGTGACCAGATGAGGGAGTTTTGTTATCAGGGCTGCTGCTGATGATTTCAGGTATTTGAAACACAACTGATAGACTTGGGAATTGGGTTAAAACATAGAGCCACCAGAGGCAAGGTAACAGGATAGAATCTGCCCTCACCCATTCAGACATGACAGGAATAGCAAATGAGTTCACACCCTGTGATAAATCCATTTGCTTGTCAATGTCCTTTGCTTGTCAATGTCAATGTGTTGAGGATGATTCTGAAGGTCTCCCTGGGAT